GCTACATTCACAAATATAAACATGGACACCCATTCATCTGTATAATTTATTAATCTATATATAGTAATATTACATGTTATACATATAAATACACACACACACACACAAGATAGATAGATGATAGATAGATAGATGATATAGATTTATATAGATATAGATGATATAGATTTAAATATATAACATTTTAGACAGATAGATAAGAGAGAGAGAGAGAGAGAGAGAGAGAGAGAGAGAGAGAGAGAGAGAGAGAGATGTGTGTGTATATGTATGTATAACATGTAATATTACAAACAGTGGTAAACTTTCTCAGTCTTTCTTCCCAGATTGCCAGGACTATGTGAAAAAAATAATTAATAATTAATAATTGCTGTTTCGATTTACTTTTTATCAACTGAAGTTCCATTTACATTAATTAGTCACTTATTGGTTGGTATCGGTCTATATCTGTGATGGAAAACCTATGGCACATGTGCCACAGGTGGCATGCAGCACCCTCTCTCTGGGCACGCAAGCTGTCACCCCTGTTCAGCACCGCCATGCATCCGCGTGCGCCTCCCGCCAACTAGCTGGTCGTCGGGTCTCTGCCATGCATACGCAGGGGTGGGTGTATGCGGGGGCATGCGCAATTATGCACGGGGTGGTGGGACACATGTGGGGGGCACGCGGGCATGTGCAGTGTGGCTGTGAGCATGCAGGGGGGGGTGTGCATGTGCCGTGGATGGGGCACATATACAGGGGCCACATGCGCATTGCATTTTGGGAGTTCGGGCGCACATGCACACATTCGCATGCGCATATGCGCGCTTTGGGCACTTGGTCTGGAAAAGGTTAGCCATCACTGGTCTATATGGTTGCTAAGACCTGACACTGAATGCATGGCATGCAATCATCCAATCACCTGTTAACGGCTTTTTGAAATTCTTTAATAAGATGTTAGAGCCATGGTTTAAATAGATGGAGCAGTGATTAAAATAAAAGTCAGAATAATTCTCATTTTAATACAGAGCTGTCATAATACTTCCTAGAAAGACTGTTTACTCTAAATCAGAGTGATCATTAGTGATGTTACAGTTGTGTGAATGTTAATATGTAGGTTAATAGACAAAATGAAATTGCTCCAATGGCTTTCCAAACAAATAATTAAAAAAAAAACCCTACATGGAGCTCATATGCTGAATACTATCAACAGACCAAATACTTCATTTTATATAAATAGTGAAGAAGATTTGGATCCAGATTAAGGCATACTGATATTACGTGGTTATTGTTTCTGGGTTTCTCTTTAAGATCCTGACATTCTACCTGGCCATTTTCATACTTAACCTTTCCCTTGGGACCTGATAAAGTCAGCACTAGCTATTTTTATTGCTGTTATATGTCAGAGATATAGTAGTTTATGCCAATTATAAACTGTTTTAAAGGACTTGAGTTTGGCTTTTCTTATAGGAAACAATAATACTTGGATCTCCCCATTGTTAAACTTCACATGCATTCCTACTTTATATGGCAAAGACTATAATAGGTCTTGCCAAAGGAAGCCATATATGTCATACATTTGGAAAATGTAAGTAAAATATCACATAATAACACCAGATCCAGGTCATTCTCATTGAAGACCAAAGCAGAATATGGAGTAGACTGTCTTAAATTTCTATGAGTGCTGTTCAATCCTTTTGAACTATGCAGATCCATTCCAAAGTGCTACATACAATTAAATACAAGGAGTCCTGATTAAATGACCACTCATTCAGTGACCATTCAAAGTTATGGCAGTAACAAAGGGGGCTTTGATAGATCCTTGTAGTTACAGCCGTCACAGCACAGTCATGTGATCACTGTTTGCAACCCTGTCAACTTCCAACAAGCAAAGTCAACAGGAAAACTGGCAGAAAGTTGTGAATGGCAATCATGTGACCAAGGAAAATTGCAACTGCATAGGATTTACTTAACAATGGCAATTGGGACTGCAATAGCTTCCATCGTGAATCAGATGGTTATGTGACACCATGCATTATGATTGCATTGCTTAGTGGGAGAGTTGCTGGTCCCAATTACTGTCAGTAAGCAAGGTCTAACTGCACACACACACACACAAATGCAATATCTTCCCCTCATTGAGATATATACGAAAAGCAACTTCAATGGTTCACATCAACCTCCATATGGAGGCCATGCTAATGCCAGCCTGGTTTGGTCATCCCCCCCCCCCCTTAACTGTGATTGTTGATTATCAGAAGGTTCAATTTCTTTTGTGTGGTTTTCTAAATCCAAATAATAAATTATTATCTGAATATGTATGAGGTGCATTTTATATACAAAGGCTGCCATCCAACACAGAGTTAAGCATACATAAGCCCACTGATTTCAATCAGCTTAAGTGCACTTAACTCTCTGCTGGATTTTGGCCAAAATGTGTATCATATCCCATATTGTTGAGCTATTGTTTTTTATCTCTTTCTGACACATCTGGCTTAGAGATTGGCTCAAATAGATTTGATATCCAATGCCACTTTATGCGGAGGCTCTGCTCCAGCAGACATATGGGCTCTCAGGGGTAGTCACATTCTCACGTCCAGACCCAGATGCACCTTTCTAACTTGGAAACCTGCTATGTTTCTCATCTCATAATTGTATATCTCCCTTCTATTTGCCCCCTTCTCATCTTAAGAAAGAACAATCTCTCACAATCAGAAGGAATGTTTAAAGGCGCTTCATGTATGAAATGGGCAACAGAGATTCAGGGATGATTCAATTACATGCCAGCAAGGATAACTCCAATTTGGTGATTGGGGTAGTGAGGTGTTCAGCTTAACTAGGATTTCCACACAGGTCTTCATGCCATCTTGTGTCTTGCATTAAGTTTAAACGTTTAATTTATCAGTGGTATAAGATGTCTGCCTCTGTGTTAACAGCATGGCCTTTTTAGAGTAAAATAAAATGGGACAGTTTGCCCATTCAGGAATGTATTGGCTTGTAAAACAGAGCAGTATCTTTTTTCATCCTTAAACAGCACACTGGTTGTTACTTATCATTAACCGATTGTTCAGAATCTGACAGAAAGAGAAAATGGCTGCTCCAGGCAACTAAGATCCTTAAATTCCATACTTTCAAGAAGAAACTGTCAACCAGATTTGAAAGTAGTAATTGTGGCAATACACTAGAATGATTTTTCATTCTAGAGCTAGTACTGTTGGGTAAAAATGAAGGACCAAAAGACCACAGTTTGCAAGTTGAGGATTTATTTTTAGAATTGTAAAATTCTAAAAATAAATAATAATGGCCAGGTGTTAACTTGTTCTGAGATCCTTGCTGATGAAGAAAACCTTGCTGAGATCCTTGCTGATGAAGAAAACCTCAACTAATCATTTTAGATCCATAGAATCAACCAGATAAATTGGCCACAATGAGCCAATTAAGATTTATAATCAGTGAGGTCAGGATTTTTTATTTAAGTTTTTAAGTGTATGAGAGAGAGAGAGATCATGTCATCTATTTTCAAAACAACATGCTCAAAATTGGCTCACATTATTGGTATCCTGAGCTCCTTGATAGAACATGAATGTCTGCATTTATCGTTATCTTTATCTGGCGGAAAATGGAAAGTTTCAGTGAATTAACTTGTTTTGCAGTCAATGCAAGAACAGTAAAGAAGCAAATGGGCAAGTGTGTGTGTGTGTGTGTGTGTGTGTGTGTGTGTAAGAGAGAGAGAGAGAGAGAGAGAGAGAGAGAGAGGGAGGGAGGGAGGGAGAAGGAGGGGGGAGAGAGAAAAGCTTATATGAAAGGAGCTTGCATGTTTATATAAAGATGGGGTCAATATGTTTTACAAATAGTTTGATTTAAATTTTAACCAATCTATTTTAACCATTAGTCATTATTTCAATTAATATTAATTTATCTATTTTGATTCTAGCCTTTGATAGGTCTCTGATCAGTTGTACAGTATATGTATATAATGTACCTAGTAATATAAATTATGTTTCATGCACACCTTTCTTGGGGATGGGGTGGGCATCAGCAACTGTAGTTGACAAGACAGAAAAGTTGGGCAGCATACCAGATATTTAATTTTGTTCATAACATTTTTTTCTTCATTTCTTCAATCTTTTTTAAAATCTATCTTAAATTCGGAATTGTTTTTCTCTAACATAAAACATAGTAAGGAATAACTATTACAGGCCTATGCTTTAGAAATACTACACATCACAATGTATTTCACAGATAGTTTTGTATGCATGAAAAAGATAATCCTTCCTTCACTGAAATGGATCTGTTTATGAGAGAAAACAATGACTTCCTTTCTTAAACAATTTAAGATGAACAAAGAAATTTCCTGTTTCATTATTCAAACTTCTTTGTTAAGTTTGGGCTTACATGTTATATTTTATGTTTGCACAAAGCTTTCCATTGATTAACCTTTAGGTGTACATGCATAGCCGAGAACATATTATTTGTTTGTAAAAAATAAATTAGTTGATTTAGCCATGGAGCAAATTCAAGAATCAAAAAAAGAGAGAGACCTGTACATTAGAAAATGATATTTGCTGAACTTCAGTTCTTGGCTCACCCACATTATGAAGCAAGTTCACATTCATTAACACAATATTCTTATTCATATCAGTATCTTATTTTATTCTAGTAGATGCTCTTATTTCTCCACACTTTGAAATGTACACCCAGAAATACTTTCTTTCTGTCGTGTTGAAATGTTTGATGTGTATTATCTGTCATTAGAGTCTTAAACAAGCTCCAGAGAAGCAACTTAGCTTGTTGCTCGAATAGCAACAGTGACCTCTAGTGTGTCTTTTTAATTTCTTCTTTTTTTCTTTCCAGTCCTTGTTCGGACAACCCTTGGAGGGGAGTTCTGGAGGGAACAAAACCCTGTTTTATTCTATTAACTAATTTTTATATTGGTTTTCCTAAAACACAAAAAGTTCCTTATCCTGTAGGTTTAACAATGTAATTATACTTATGAAATAACTGGAAATAATCTTTAAACCTCATAAAAGCAAAAATAGTTTTATTTATTGAATGAAAATTGTACTTCTGTTAAAAAAAAAATCCATCAACCTTGCAGCGATTAATGTCCTGATCCCAAACCCAGACTGTATCAACTGGCAAATTTCTGCCAGATGTAACAATTCATTTCTTCTTGTGCACTAGAAGAAACAGGGTGTGCAAGAAAATCCACTCTTACACTACATGTGTATCTGCAACCTTTGTGTCGTTTTCTTCAAAAACGTGCTTTCAAAAATGCCAGAAGTTGAAGAATCTTCTATAACTTGTTCTCTAGCCAGGCAAGCATTCTTTCCAAACACAGATTTTTTTTTTTATTTTAAATGTGAGCTGAACTTTGTTTATGTCAATCGAAACAGATCAAACTGTTTAAACATGCTAAACTTTAAGGCATATAAGTAAACATTTCACTGATGAAGTTATCTTCTTCTGGGAAATTTGCACAAAGCTCTTCATTCCACCCCTTTTTTCTATACTTGCAGGTGATCATAGCTTATGTGCTTTTATACATTTCATGTAAAGAAATGTATTCCAGCTGTTTATAGTAACAGCTGCCTGAGTGTAAAATCATCATGCTCTTATTTATATCAATTTATTTTATTTATAAATGTTATAAAGCTGTCCCAGAAAGATAATTTGAAAGATCAGAACACAATTTTTTAAAAATACTGAAAGAAACATAGATTTTAAAAAAAGATAGGCAAATTAGTTACTGTCCTTACTAAGAGAAATTTGCAGATGTCTCAGGTGACGGAATCCTGAGATGGCAGAGAAAAATACAAGACTTCATACTGCAGCTGGAACTCTTCAACATTCCCCTAGTAGAAAGAAAAAATCCTGTGAATTAGGGATGTGCAACAGTTTTCTTTTGAATGATATGCTCAAGGCTAATCCTTAAATATTAGCACAAAGAAAAAGACGTATAGAACAGCCACCTCAAAATCCTTACTAGCACTGATGATGTTACCGAGTTAGGCTAATGAAACGTTTGCAAGAAAATAACAGAACAGAACAGAACAGAATAGAATTTTTTATTGGCCAAGTGTGATTGGACACACAAGGAATTTGTCTTGGTGCATATGCTCCAAGCAAGCTCAGAGAGCACCAAGGACCCCTCATTCCTGAATTTGATTGAATTTAAATTTATGGTAGAGAAGCCCTTGAGCCAATGTCCTGGTGACTATATATGGGCATATCCTCCTTGCAATGGTCTTGGCTACGGTAAAGAAGTAGTTTGCCACTTCCTCCTTCCAGCATGTTTTTTTTTTCAGCTTCTCGATCCAGCCATCAGCCCCAGATTCCAAATACTGATCAGGGTCAACCGAGGCTAGAACACGTGGCTGCCAGTGAATTGACGTAATCCATACAATTATTCCCCATTTATTACTATTCCGTCTCCACCCCCCACTTTAAAACCCTTTAATGGGCTAAACCAATCAACAAAAGAAAAAATACATACAACAGCAAGAAAGGATCAACTCCGAATGAATTGAGCAGAGCATTTAAAAATAATAATAATAATATATTTTTTTTACACTGTAGCAGTAATAACTTTGGATGGCTCTTTGGGAGGCCATGCAGATTCCTGGAATTTTAGGTGATACATTCTATGCAAATAGAAGTCTCATACATCAAGGAGAAAAGGTTTATCTCTGCTTTCCTTCTGTTGCCGTCTATCGATTTGCAAGGGGGGGGGAATTGCTTTTTAAAAAAATTATTTCCATCTGGAGTAACAAATGATACAGCCTTTCCGTTCTACTTATTTGGCAACTTCATATAGCTGCAAGCCTTCGTTGTAGCTTTTCCAGTTCACTGGGATGCTGACTCATTGGAACTGGGAATGTTCGGCCACTGGTTTCCTGAAGTGCTGCTGAACTGTTCCATGACATCAAATTCATGGTGCTGTTGGGCTGCTTAAGCAGTGGGAGAGGGAGTTTCTCCTCTCATGTGTCAGCAAGCTTCCCTGCTTGGCTCTGAGATCGCCTCGCTGTGACATATAAATGTAATCAAGAACTACATTTTTATTACTAGTAGCAACCCCCAAAGTGGAAAAACATCTGCAAAAGATTCCTGCTTGCTACAAATACTGTGAGGATGTGTCAAGAGGATAGCTAAAGGGAAAAAAAGGCATTGAGGCTTTGTGAGGCAGAAGGAGAGAAGAAAGCAGAGAGGGAGAAGGACAGCTTCAATGAATAGTAGTAGCAATAATAATAATAGTAATACAATATTTCTGATTTCTCGCAGCAGAGTTCATGACAATCTGTGTGACTGACTACTGCATAGATATACTATGTATGGGTGTTACAAAAGACTGAATGCTGGATGCTGGGTTTCTAGATTTCATTAACGGCTTTTCATCCATCCTCAGTGATACCAGCTTCATACACAAGGCATGTAAGAAGGAAAATAGTGAATAAGTTGCATGCTGTGTTCCCAACAGGGAGGAAGGGGGAGAGAAAGAGAGAGAGAGAGAAGCTCAATTTAATGTACAAGGATTCCTCTACATGTCCACTCTAAAGCAACATTTTAATGAAAAGAAGGACTAGGGGTCACATGATAGCAGTGTTCCAATATCTTAGGGGCTGCCACAAAGAAGAGGGGGTCAAGCTATTCTCCAAAGTACCTGAGGGCAGGACAAGAAGCAATGAGTGGAAACTAATCAAGGAGAAAAGCAACCTAGAATAAAGGAGAAATTTCTGTAAGAACAATTAATCAGTAGAACAACTTGCCTGCAGAAGTTGTAAATGCTCCAACACTGGAAGTTTTTAAGAAGATTTCGGATAACCATTTGTCTGAAGTGGTGTAGGGTTTCCTGCCTGGGCAGGGGGTTGGACTAGAAGACCTCCATGGTCCCTTCCAACTCTGTTATTGTATATTCTAATGGGGAAATCCCCTATTACTGAAAACACTTATATCTGTTGCTCAGGGGTGGGTTCTACTTACCTTTACTTCCAGTTCACAATGGGATCACAGGCGGACCTTGCTTCACTCACACACGCACCTTGCTTTTGCGCATGCGGAGATCGCCGATAATGACATCTGTGGCAGTGGGCGGGGCCTCCCGCCGGTTTTACTACCGGTTCTTGCAAACTGGTCCGAACTGGGGGCAACCCACCACTGCTGTTGCTCCACACTATGGTTCCTTTAAGGCAGGGGTGAAATCTAAAAAATTTTCGCTACCGGTTCTGTGGGTGTGGCTTAATTAGTGGGCATGGCTTGTTGGTCAGGTGACTGGGTGGGCATGGCTTGTTGGTCAGGTGGGCGTGGCCAAGTCGACGTCACTTCTTTGCCCTTTTTTAACCTACAAAACACAACACAACACAACTGGCTCACCCAATGTAAAAGCAGCTGTGGTAGACCCAAAATGGCCCCTGCAACAAGCAGGAACCTCACACAGCCACAAAAAGTCCAAAAAACCAACTTTCACACTTTACACACACACAACACAACACAACTGGTTCACCCATAATGTAAAAGCAGCTGTGCTAGACCCATAATGGCCCCTGCAACAAGCAGGAACCTCACACAGCCACAAAAAGTCCAAAAAACCAACTTTCACACTTTACACACACAAAATTTGTGAGATTTTGTGTGTTTGTGTAGTTAGAGTGAAACACTACAGAAACACACAAAATCTCAGAAAGCTGCACAAATATTATTTTATTTTATTTTATTTGTATTTGTATATAAAAGCAGCTAATTTTAAAACTTCCTAAACTTTAAATGGCTAGGTCTAAAAAAAGAACAACTAAAAAAAAACCCCAATTAACTATTTTTTTTAAAGCTCCCAAAGGGGGAAAAAAACTTACATGCAGGCAGGCAGGGAGAAAGAGCTGCTCACCGATGAGCTTGATTGCAGGCAGGGAGATTCAGTTGCTTGCTGATGCAATGGATTACAGGGATTACAGCAAGCGAAGCAAGGCAGGTGTGCGAAGGAAAGCAAGCTGGAGGCTGAGGGGGGGAAAGGGATTTTTGCTCCGAACTTCCCGCCGCCATTGCTACCTACTCGCCCGAGCCGGTCCGAACCGGGAGCATTTCACCCCTGCTTTAAGGTATGGCTTCATTTATATATCGCTCAAGACAATGCAGGTAAATAGAAACCTGAAAACCCACCTGGTAAAAATCAATGTTTGTTTCAACAAAAACCTGAGAGGTTAGATAAGTGAAGAATTATTTTAAACAGAAGAACTTTTCATATGCTATAGCAAGAATATACTTGGAATTTTGAGAGCATATTATGATTATTCCCTTAAGGAACTCACAACCCCCATCTTAACTTTTTTTTCCCCCTTTATTTCCCCCTGTAGAATTTTCCTCCTCTCAGCTCAAATCCCAGCCCACAATTTCCTTTCTTGGGGTGAGGTGCACACTTTCACACAAGCCATTGCATGGATGGCTTATAAAGCCAGGCTTGATAATAAGTGCTTATTATAGATGCTTTCCTTACAGAGTGCCTGGCTTCTCAGTCTTATATTATAAGAATCTTTAATAATAAATAAAGTCAGGTGATTCAGCTTTATGGGCAGCAAAAGAAGTATCTCCTGACACTTATGGAATATATATCACATTAACCACCTTCAGTAGATACATCAGTCCCAGATCTGTAAATTGTACTACACACTGACTTGGCACCAGTCTTCCAAGGAATTAAGAGGAAGCCTTTCTCATTTCTTCTATGTCACTGAGAATCCAGGACCTCGGCTTGCAAAACAGATGCCCTATTATGGAACTGTAGTCCAGGTCTCTGGTCTATGACTGCAATAAACTGAATTGGAATTGGACTGCAGATCTTCTGGGAACAAAATGGGTTGGGTGTGACAAGGCATCAGGTGAAAAAGGTATGGACCCCACACTTGGTGGGAGGAAGAATGCCAATTAATTGCATTTCTGTGTAGCAGAGGGATAAAAAAAAATATGATATTGTTGAGAATGTTTACTTGACATACAGTAATAACCTGCCTCCTAATAAAAGGAAAACTCTGTAAATGTAAGGCATCCCATTCAACAAATGTCAGTACTTTTCTTAATAGGAAGACACCCATCTGGTTACTCCCCCCTCCACACCATTCTCTCCTTTTGTGCCCCCCCCTTACCGAGTCTGTAAACAGCATAAATTAGTAATCAAAAAGATACTGCCTCCTGAATATTTTATGATGGTGCGAATGAAAGGGAAATGCACAGACCAAGGGCTTGGTGATGCAAACATATTTGTCCACGCTTTTCTTTGTTTAAGCAGAAGAGTGAAAATGCTGGAGGTTGGTCCCTCCCCTCCCCTCCCCTGTTCATTGGGAGATAATTATCATCTCAGCAAGCTGGCTGATTCTCAGCCACTGTGTGTTGGGTGGGGGGATGTGAGTTGGCGGGAGAGAGTGGGGGCCAAGTTGCTTACACAACATAGCAGCTTCCTTCAGTCCTCTGAATGGCCCCCTCCCACTATTTGATCTACAGACAGCACAACAGAAAGTTCTAAGAGAGGATGGGGCCCAAAACAAACAAAAAAAAACTTGATTAGTCTTCTCATTTTACCTGTGAAATAGCCTGTTTTGCTCCAGCCTGGAAAATATAGCTGTACTCTTTACCAGACCTCTTACTGTTACGTTTATAATAGTGGAGATTTCTGTTTGCTGACTGTGTAAGAGAGAGAATAGAAATACTACTGAATTCAATACATCTTATATCAAGAAAAATTAGATGCCACTGCCACTGTCAACCAATCAAACTCTGATCCTTCATGCATAATTCTGTAATGTTTTGTTTCTGTAATTGTGCATAATTTCTTGATCTTTGGCTGTTTAGCAAAGTACACCAAAAGAAATTTTTGCCCAAAGTTTCTCTCTCTCTCTCTCTCTCTCTCTCTTTTTTTTTTTTTTTTTTTTTTTTTGAGATTTCTCAAGGCTTGATCTGTAAACCTAAAACCACATACTGGTAACCAAAAAACTCAGTAATTTGGGAAAAAAGGCATAACATTTTTCTTGAGTAGCAAAATTTTATCGAATATCATAGTCTCTACTTCCCCACTGGCATAAAGTACAATGCACATAATGTCTTGCTTATAACAAGCATTTTCCTTCAGTGATTTGATTACTGGGGGAAATGTAGAAAGATCTTAATGAAATTTTGAAAATTTCTTATTATGTCTGCCATCAAGCTTAGCAATCATAATCTCTGATAATGTTATTTAACAAGGAAAAAAAATAAGTTGAGGCAAGAATCAAGAATCACCTCATGTTTCCTGTAAAGGTAGAATAAAAAGGCAATACATAATAAAATTACTCCGCTCAAATAAAAGCATATCTAAGATAATAATCATATTGACCTCTACAAAGAACTAAGCATCACAGAATAAACCACTGTATTGTCTTGGTAGGCTTATGTACCGAACAATATGTCCTTGGAATTCAATGACAGCTATGTCCTACTAAAGAGGTATGTCATTTATTTTCATGTGTAAAATTAGTGCCTCATTCAGTGTAGTTTGAAAAGATTTAACCTCTAATGGATTGTGCCTAAGAAGTCTACTATTGTGAAAATCTTACTTTTCATTTGGTTATTTTTTTCAATAGCTATGGCACGCCTGTATTTTTTTCTGTCATGTACCAGTCTTGTCCTTTAAAGTCCTGTAATGTAAACAGAACAATCAATTGTTGCTATTGCAGACAATAATAAAAGTTCTTTTTTTAAAAAATAATTTTATTGAGTATTTTACATTTTAAAATCAAACACACAATAACAAAAGAAATCAAGAGACAAAAACAAAAAACAAAAACACACGTACACCAGACGTTAAAATACAATACTAACAACAGATATATACAATTTTACAACTTTCTGCATCGACTTTTGTCTTTACTTTTTGCTTTTATCCTTCTGCTCCTTCTCTTTATTTTTAAATATTCATAATTAACTGTTTTGTTAGCAGGATCATTATTTACATTTATATCCAGTATGTTAATATCTAATTTCACTTTAAATTCTTATTTCTTAATTTGATTTCTGTTTTCCAACCATGTATAAAACCTATTCCACACTTTATAATAATCCGAGTCTTCTCTTTCTTTGATCTCCATCGTTAATTCATCCATTTTGGCGCATTCGAGGATAATAAAGTTCTTAGTCTTTAGAGCAGATATGTGAAGACCCATTAAAGTGAGAACTGGCCACAGGTGAGTACATAGAAGCTTCAGCTTAAATTTCTGTTTAGGCAAAGGAGAAGGGGGATGGTTTAATGACAGCAACTACTGGCCCATCAAAGACTTAAACTTTGCCCTTCAGACCATAATCCTATATTTATATGGGAATAGGTTCCATTGAACTCTAAGACATTGATATCTAAGCAGATGAACAGGATTACCTTAGGAAGGTAATGCTTCCTAAGGTAAACTTCACTTGAAGTTATTGAACAAAATATGACATTTGCATTGAGTGCAGAAAAAAGAATTTGCAGGAAAAGCAATAGATGTGCTAGCACACCAGCCTGCTTCTTGCTAGTGTGCAGTTGATTTAATCATAGTTAACTGGATAAACCTCCATTGGTTGGATTCATAAATTGTAATAAATTAAAAGCCATGGTTTGTCAGTCATAATTGATAGATCTGCCATTTACATTAAATCAAAACCAAAAAATTACCTCAGAACGTATGTTTGGTTGCTACTATTTGTGTAAAAAATATTGTCCAAGAGCTATAGGAGATACGACCAATGCCCAGAGAGGTACAAAATGGAGTGTTTAGATAGCAGGGCATTCTGCTCCCTTCTCTCTTTGCCGAATGTTTCATTTTTTCCCCTAAACATGTGTTCTGAGAGAGGTTAAGCACTTTGGACCAAAATAGAAAGTGACACTTTATGAAAGAAAATAAAAGCCAATACACACCTTTAAACCAGGAGTAAAATCCAGCAGGTTCTGACAAGTTCTGGAGAACCAGTAGTGGAAATTTTGAGTAATTCGGAGAACCGGTAGCAGAAATTTTGAGTAGTTCGGAGAACTGGCAAATGCCACCTCTGGCTGGCCCCAGAGTGGGGAGGGAATGGGGATTTTGCAGTATCTTTCCCCTAGAGTGGGGTGGGAATGGAGATTTTATTTATTATTTATTTTATTTATTATATTTCTATACCGCCTTTCTCCCGTAGGACACAAGGTGGTGTACAGTCAAGAAAAATATAGATACACAAACATCATAAAATTGCTAATTAAAATTATTACTTAGTTTGGTCAATTAAATAAAACCCAGAATTAGATAACATTTAAAAAATCAATTAGCATGTTCATATGTTTAGCCCCGCCTGTTGGAACATCAGGGTCTTGAGGGCACGGCGGAAAGCACGGAGATCAGGGATATTTTGTATCTCAGGGGGCAGTTCATTCCAAAGGGTTGGAGCCCTCACAGAGAAGGCCCTTCCCCTGGGAGTCGCCAGTTGGCATAATTTGACTGACGGTACCCTGAGTAGTCCCTCCCTGTGAGAATGAACTGGTCAGTGGGAGGCTATTGGTGGCAAAAGACGGTCTCGTAGGTACCCAGGTCCTAAGCCATGGAGCGCTTTAAAGGTGATAACTAACACCTTGAATCGCACCCGGAAGACCACCGGGAGCCAGTGCAGCTCGCGTAGGAGAGGTGTTACATGAGCATAACGAGCTGCGCCCATAATCACCCGCGTGGCTACATTTTGGACCAGTTGGAGAATTTGCAGTATTCTTCCCCTGCCACACCCACCAAGCCACACCACACTCACCAAGCCATGCCCACAGAACCAGTAGTAAAAACAATTGGATTTCATCACTGTTTTAAACTCAGATGTATTAAAGATTTAACCAAACAGAGTCATACCCTCATATGACTACAGACACATACAAAGCATGTCCTGCAAGGTTTGTCATATGTCTGGGCATGTAATGGCCATGTAGTCTAAAATAACTACACTAAGCAGGTAAAAACATACTCAGCAAGAAGGGGGTTTGGGTTACATGTCTGGGCAGAAGCAGGGCCTTTTAAAAGCAAGAATGGAAGTTGATTTGACTGATGTAAAAATGACCTCTGAGGCTCCAAAGGGAAGGAATGGGATAAGAAAGAGCTTCCTCACTCCTGAACTGTACAACCCCCTTGGGGACAATGCAAAAATGGAGTTACATTGCCTTGTGTTAAGTATAAAGAGTAAGAAAATAGTATTTCAATTGAACGCTAAACCAAACATCCTAATTTGATTTTACATTATTTTTGAAAATGGTGAGGTCTCAACATGTTAGTATGACATAAATTTGGAAAGCTTGCATCATGCATATCCTTCCTCCTTGTTTGATGGGTTCTGTACATAACCAAGAAAAACAAGTTGATGGCTAACCTGAAACAGAGCTCAATAAAAGCTTTTGATGCAGGCTTTCCAGATCTGAGGGCTTTGGATCATCATAAATATTTCCATTAAAGTTAATAAATTATATTTTACACATGATCCTTTCGTTGAAACGGCAGCCTTCATAGGTTGCATTAAGGATGATTCTACTCACTTTTAGGAACATCAAACACTGGGGCCAAATTGCTTATTAGTTCTGAAAAGGCTGGTATGTCAAACTTTCTGTCAGCTGCAAGATGTTAACATTGAATTTTGTGATAAAACATGTTTACATGTAAAACAAAATCTGTTTTATTTCTTTAGCTAACTCTGTTTAACTATGTCATATTGTAAAACAGATACAATTTAATCAAGTTGAAGCAATATACTATTTAAATCTCTTCCTTAATCTGACAGATTTTGCAAAACTATTACAAATTTAAGTCTGATGTGATTAATTTGTGGCACTGACTTGAGTCTTAAACTCAGAAACATATGCAGCTCATTCAATGTGAAGTTTTCTACCTTATCAAGCCACCATTTCATAGCTAAGAAGAGCCTTTTTAGAAGGGACACCATGTACTGTATATAGATACACATATATGTAACTTTATTTTTAATGTAACCTTGTTAGAAGCAAAACATTGTAGTATTTGTGAATTTTCTGTTTTCTTTCTTCAACAAAATGAAATATTAGATTTACAATATCTGAACAATTATGAAGGTAAATTGATTTTCATGGAAATAAATATTGATGGAATTTCAGCTTCCTTTGAAGCATTTCTGTAGCAATTCTGGCCACTGTCGTGACTGTTTTCTTTTTTTCTTGAGTTTGGTTGGATGATCAAATCGCTCCAGAATTGCCACTGCCCACTGATGCACATGGCATTGGCATCCTTCAGTCTCAAAAGACTATGGTATTGTACTCTGGAAAGAGGTCCTAAAACAGCATCTAGTGTGACTAAAAAGACCAATTCAAGAGTAGCAATCCCTTCCACACTGAGGGCAGATACATTCTGTCCCCTGCCCAGCCCCCAGATTTCGCTGGTTCCAGGATTGCCTCTTTGCCTCAGCCTGCCGAACAAGTGTCTCTTCGAATTGGAGAAGGCCATGCTGCATCTTTAGCCTCCAAGCTGAACGATCGGAGGTCAAGGTTTCCCAGCTGTTAATGTCCATTCCCAGGGCCTTTAGGTCCCTCTTGCAGATATCCTTATATCGCAGCTGTGGTCTCCCTCTGAGGTGCTTTCCCTGCACTAATTCTCCATTCAGGAGATCTTTCGGAATCCGACCATCAGCCATTCTCACAACATGCCCAAGCCAGCGTAGACGTCACTGTTTCAATAGTGTATACATGCTAGAAATTCCAGCACGTTCCAAGACTGCACTATTTGGAACTTTGTCCTGCCAGGAATACGTTGGAGACAGCGTATATGAAAGGTGTTCAACTTTCTCTCCTGCTGTGCGTAAAGGGTCCAAGACTCACTTCACTACAAGAGTGTGCTCAGGGCATAGGCTTTATAGATCTGGATCTTTGTATGTTCCATCAGCTTCTTATTAAGCCATACTCTCTTTGTAGGTCTGGAAAATGTGGTGGCTGCTTTACTAATATGTTTATTCAGCTCAGTATCTAAAGAGAGAGTGTCAGAGATAGTTGAGCTGAGGTACACAAAGTCATGGATGACCTCCAGTTCTTGTGCAGAGATTGTAATATGAGGAGGTAAATCCATGTCCTGACCCATGTATCAGTATTACTGTATTACTGATGTATCAGACCCATGTATCAGTATTACTGATGCACAATTACACTAATAAGTTGTGGAAGATCTCCATTCTTCTACATCTAATGCTGCACAAGGAAGTTTAGAGCATAAAAATATTTGCTGTGTTTTATTCAACTGCAAACAAGCTTAAGGGGCCAGGCATGTTGTAAAGCAGGGGTGGGCAAATATGGCCCCTTTATGACCTGTGGACTTCAACTCCCAGAATTCCTGAGCCAGCTTGGCTGTCTCAGGAATTCTGGGAGTTGAAGTCCGCAGGTTGTAAAAGGGCCACATTTGCCCACCGCTGTTGTAAAGGTATTACTGTGGTTTTCCGGGAGTTCTGTTTGTTTCTGCTGTTTTATTCAGAGACACCATGCAAAAAAGTAAACATGTAAGGTGGAAGGTTTCCTGGAGGTTTCTCAGACAAAATAAGCAGCCCAGGGAAGACTATACTAGAAGCTCCACTAGTGGAAGATATAAACAATCATGAGACATAATCAGAGGACCCAATGAATATGCATGATGTACATGTAGGAGAAACCTATCAGGAATTGTGGTGCTATGAAATATTACCAAACTATTCATTCATAAATCATGATCATATCCATTCGTTCACACATACCATAGGTATGATTCATAACACAATAAGGAATCTTTGCAATGATGTCTAGGGGTTAGGGTCAAATGATTTTGTAGATCTCAGGATGGATGCAGATTTTTCCTCTTGGGAGGCATGGGGTGATTTAAAATGCAATGAATTCCTGAACATGGTGAAAGCATGTTAGAGAGAAATGTGGATATGTTTTCAGTGATGATTTATGGTTAGTAGTCTCCCTCGTTGAGAACAGACAGGGACTTGTTTTAGGAAGTTAAGCATTGTGTTGTTTAACCAAAATCTACAGAACAAAAGACACCATATGGTCAATTTCAAGGTAGAGTATATGGTTAATTTTCCAGATCTGCTGGGTTAGATATTGGGCTTTTTACAAAACATAACATTATTAGAGCTCTCTATCACAGAATGGATTTTTTTACTGAAAAAATGGTTTAATTTTCACATATCTATAACTTTGAAGACCGTCTTGGAGTAACCTTTAAGATTCTCATTTACATTTTAGTATAAACACATTTTATTTATTTTAGTTTTACAAATGCATTCCTTTTCCCATCAAACTTTTTATTGTATTTATTTGATGGTATAATGATCAAAGTTGGATTTTATTAAAACCATCAAAGTTTTAAAAGTGGGAGCTTTTTTTTTTTTGTCAAGAAGGCTCTCTCTACAAACAACTGGGTGTGAAATACATGTTTTATTATTTTGAATATTGTCAGCAAATAAAAGTTCACCTTCCAAATTATGTATATGCTATGGATAAACTGCAGTAAGAGGATGATGAGGATTTGGTCAGATGGGAATATTATAGTGTTGGGTGCCTGACTCACTTTATGAAAAATAAATGTAATAAAAATCATGGTTAGCAGGATGTTTTTTTCATTGTTTCAAGGTTACTTGTTATCATGGTTACTGTTAGAGTTTGCAGCAATCCAACTAGCACACAAGTAAATAATTCAGCAGGATTCATTTATAGAAGAAACTTGCTTATATACAATAATATAAAACATGATGCATGTATACAATACCCATGCAACAGAAGCCAGAACCAGAAATCATAAAAAGTGATAGTGTAATAGATAGCAGTTTACTTCCTTTCATCACTTGAATCTTTTCTCAGGTCAGCTATCCCAGAATCCCCAATGTCAAATAATTCTGAAACTATCAGGAGGTACCTTGACTCATACTGGACAGCATAAGATAAAGACCAGTGCATTCAGGATGGTGAAAACCACAACTGCATCCTCTTGTGTCATGAGCATATCAAAGTGATGCCTACAAAAGACTGATGATAGCCTGTTTTTAAATTTACTATGAGATAAATTTAGGCAGAGTATCAAGCATGCAAACATATC